GTCTCTTCAGTTTAGTTAAAGGATCAGATGTGAAGTTCTTAATATTTCACAGTAATGGTTTTTCAAGTACAGAGCCGAAGATAGCCCAAACTGTTCAAGTGTTCATGTGGCCAGTGTCAGTAAAACAGTGTTAAGTTTCTCCGTGTGAAAAATACGTTGATACGTAAAATCAGTTCACTGCTGTTGTCTATTAAAATATTAATATGAATTAGTAATTGCAAACAGTAAATTAGTACTATATTGTAAATAAGATAAATAATACACCTTTTTGGCTCATTGGCTCATGTTTATAATAACTACAGTGAAAGCTCCGTTTTCCTTCACATGAATGCCTAAAACCCTATATCAAACCCAGGATTTTACACTAATTAATAACTACCTGGTACTGCCACTGACTATGGACTATAGTCCTGCTGTTGGACACATGACAGGAATTTCCTGTGGGGCAACCCCATGTAATTCTTATGTGTTACTTTTCAGTGTCACCTCCTGTCAGTGAAGGAGAACTGCAGGCTTCAGCCTTGAGCAGGGCTGCCAGTGCCATTTTCTGCATAGCTGGGGGCACACCATGCCTTCATGAGGTTTACCAGTCTACCCTGTTTATCTGAGTTGTGTGATGCAGTCAGTACTCTGGTTTTCAGAAATCGGGCTCAGAAGGTTTAATGTCTTGGTAGGCCTTACAATCTAAAATACAGAAGATTATGAAGGAGAATAAGTTTGTGCCATAGGTAAGATTGCCTCTTCCCAAACTTTAAAGAATTAAGTTGAATTAAATTCCATGCATAAAAGTAAAACAAAAAAAAAAACACATCTGCTGTGAAGGCCTCAGGTGTGAGGGAGAGAGTTGCAGAGATAAACCAAAAGGACAGAATATGTGAGAACTGCCTTAACAGGTCAAAAAGAGTGTCCAAATAAATGGAAATCAAGATGAAAAAATGTTTAAACCTGAAATCTGTAAATGATTGTAGAGGTTGTAGAAAGAAATCAATTATTGAGAGCTAGTAAAACTTGCCCAGTGTAAGGTTAATTTTGAATTTGAACATAAGAAAGGTGTGTATACAAGAGGGGGGCATTTGGCCTATCTTCCTTATTTGGTAGTTTAGCAGCCAAGTTAACGTAAAAGCTTGTTCCAGACACCCACCACGCTAAGAAAAGCAGGGTTTCTTATTCTGTGTCCTAAATGAATTTCCCTTAAGTTCTGTAGTAATTTTATTTACCAAGTGTCAGCCCAATCCATGATTTTCTGAAACTCCCTTGTCGCTGATCTTCTGCTTTCCATTCCCCCTGTTTTTGTGTCATTAAATAATTCGACTAGTTTGGTGTTATAATGTAAATTGTGGATATTGTGGATTGTGGATCAGGAAGAGCATAGGCCTAAAATACAATAAATCCACACCACTGTTCATATCAGACCAGTTAGAGGCTATATCCCTTTAGATTACACATTGTTTCCTGTTTAACTAGTTCTCACTCCATGTACAGTGCCTTGTAAAAGTATTCAAACCTTTGCACAGTTTTCACGTTTTGTTAAGTTAAAGCTTGCAGACACTTGGAAGAAGCTATTAATATTTATTGTGTACACAACCTACTGTACAGTATACGCATTCAAGCCAAAAAAAAACAACAAAATGAAGTACACTAAACTGATAAATAATTGTTTGGCTTGTTAAGGCAATTTTGTGCACCTAATTCATTTAAGTGCATATAAGTTATTATTGTACAAAGTTACCTTAATGAGCCACACAGTGAGTTGAGTGACCTCTATTTGTGTGCTTTAATAGTGGTTCATATGATTTCAGAATAAATGCACCTGTCTTATTTACTCAGGTAGTGAATTTCAAGTAAAGGTGCAACCATGAGGACCAAGGAGAACAATTTAGGTACAATATAAAGTTGGATAAAAAGGCACAGATCAGGAGAAAGTAATAAAAACATTTCAAAGACCCTTATTATCTCTTTGAACATGGAGGAGTCAATCATTAAGAAGTGGAAGACACCCAAACACTACCTAGATCAGGTTACAAACTTGAGAAGGTGGAAACTGGATAGGTGTTGCATGCCCCCGTGAGGCCAACAGTACATTGAAAAGATTTAGAGTTCACTAGCTGAGACTATAGAAAATTTCCTGGTTCCATTACACTGTTTACTTCTCAATGGAGACTTGTATGTAACAGAAAAGAAACATCTCAGATCCCCAGAAATGTAGCAAAAGGTTTACTCGTCAAATTAGACAAAACTGTGATTTTTGGCATAAGTGCAAAGTGCTACATTTCACACGAACCCAACATTACTAAATGAACACCATGGGGGTTCTATAGACTGTATATTACAGTTCTGTTTCTCATCAGCAGGGACTGATGGGAACTGAGATGGAGCAAAGTACTGGCAAATCTTAGAGGATAACCTGCTTCATACCTCAGTCAGGAACAAAATTTCACCTTTCAGTAGGAAAATGGCTCAAAGGCCTGAACTGCACTGGAGTGGCTTAAGAGTAAGACAGTGAATATCCTTGAGTGGCCTAGTCAACATTCTGACTTACACCATACTGAGAATAATGAAAGGAAGGAAAGATTAGAATATTATCTCTAGTCTTTTTAGTCTACAATATTTGTCCAGAAACAATCCTCAGGCAACTTAAGAGAGTCTGAGAAGAATGGACTAAAATGGCATCAAACTGTAATACAAAGTTAGGACAGACTTACCCAAAAGGACCTGACTCTGTAATTGCTCCCAAAAGTGCTGCTTCCACCAAATATTGAGCTGATGGTTTGAATACACCAGCAATCAACATATTTTTTTTTTCTGAATACATTTGCAAGGCACCAGTGCATACATTAGATTCTACATTCCCTATATTGCCATACATATCCTTAGATTCTCACTGCTTTTAATTTGAGAATCAACCTTTCACAGGGAATCTTATCAAACACTGGAAATCTAAAAATACTGTGTCATCTGTTTTAGTATTATCTAATGTCCTTGTGATATCTTCAAAGGTTTAAACCCATGTTGGTTGTCTTTGTTTTCTAAGTATTCTTCAGTTTACCTCATTTTAACTTAAACATAAACTTTCAGTTTATTTTAAACTTCAGTATAGCAGATGTTAGACTGATTGGTCTATAGTTTCCTGGTTCAGTTCTGTTCCTCTTTATGGGGATTAGTGTTACATTTGTGATTATCCAGTCTGTGGGTAGAGCTCCCATTCTAAGACAGAGCTGAAGTATCCAAGCTGGAATATAAAGAAAATATTTAATTTCTTTAAGCATCACTCAGAAAATACTTTCAGGCCCTGGTGATTTATTGCTTTTACCATTCTATCCCCTCTAGAAATTTATTTGGAATCTAGTATTTGTAAACATAACATTACCTAGCACTGCTGGGGCCTGATCTATAACATGGAGCATGTTATGGACATCTATTGTAAACGCCTGTGTAAAAATTCATTTAGCATTTTATCTTATGTTTATTATCTTCTATTATTAATCTGCATAATATTCACTTCCTCTTCTACTGTAACAGTAGTTCTGTATATTCCTTTTCTATTTTACTCAACATTAAGTGCTTTTTCTTTCTTCTGATTTTTTTCTTAACGCCGTTAAACATGTTTTCCTGCATGTAGAATTCACTGTTTTAGGAATTAAGTTGTTTTGAATCCTTTTTAAAGTACTGTATAACCATCCATGGCAGGTCCTCCTTGACCTAGAAGACCGGTGCATATAGTGAATGCCTGCACCTTTTCTCTTTTTGACTGCTCTCTATCCTGCACTCACACTGAAACCATCATAGACAGCTGAGAGACAGTTGCTCTGTTACACCATTGACTTCTATTGAATCTGATTCTGTCTGTTCCTAGTTCTCTGCTCAGCTCAAACTCATTCCTGCATAGTCTTATTTTTCTAAAAGTATAAACCCTAATTTTAGATTCACGTTTCTGAGATTTAAAGTATACATTAAAAGATTTTATGGCCACAATTTTCCAGTGATTCTATCACATCTATTGCCCTAATTATATCCTAGTTCCTTGAAAAGATTAGGTCAATAAGTGAATTTTGCATGGTTGGTGGTTATACCAATCAGACTCCTGATTTCTTTCTGGAAAAATAGTCCTGGAATCCCCATAAAAAGACGCAGACAGAAAAGTCAGTGTAATTGTGGCTGCAAGAAGTAAAATGGACAACTATTAGCCTGGGGAAACCTTTAAACAAGCTAATAGTTTTGGATTTTTTTGCTTTTTTACTCTTAAAAAGTTCAATTTAAGATAGGTTCAGTTAGTGCCTTTTAATGCTTTTTTGTCTACAGACAAGCAAATTACAGTAGGTGCAAACTGTACCAGGGGTTTCTTACTCAGTTAATAGGTGGTGGGAATCCTTAACATCCTATAAATTGGATTTGGGATGGCTACACTGATTGGTGTCACCACATATATTAATCACACTGCTGTTGAGGCTATAGTCTTGTTTTGTATGCAGGATGTCTTAGAGGATTACACCAATTTTAATTAATTTGTCATTGAGAAATTAAGACTGTCTTAGTATTCTCTTGCTGGGTTACATTGAGTTTGTAGGGGTAACTGAGGGGTAATAGAGGTTGTGCTTTAATAGGTGGGTTACTTGTAAATTCAGTGACCAAATTGTTAGCAATCTACTACATTACAGAAGTGTCAACAGGCCATAGACGTAATAGTCTGGAATTACCTGCTTTTATTTCATGTAATTTACAAATACAGAGAAAAAACAGCAAATAACATGAAAGATTTCCTGTTATTTTAACAGATAAAGTATCAAATAATAGCCATTGTAGTGAATGATGATTGTTTTCAGCATTTGACTACAAAAGCATTGCCAACAATGACGAGTTCCTGACAGTTTTCATCTATTTCAAAATTCATATTTTAATTCTGAATGTTTATTTATAGAAATACAAGATATAAGCGGTTTTTGGATGCCTTTTCTCTTGTTCGCTGGCCCTGTGTACTTATTCTTGGTTTTCTCTGTTGCTAGTGCTGCTGGTGGTGAAATATTTAACCAGTGCGTGGCTGACCGAGATGAGGCCTTCAAGGAGGAGGAGGTCAAGCGACTCATGAGGCAAATCCTGGAAGGTGTGGCTTTCCTGCACAAAAACAACGTGGTCCACCTTGACCTGAAGGCGAGTACAAACGTGTATATTCTGCTTATACAAGCATTAGGTAGATGCCCAAGAGTGGGTAGACGCAAGAACATGCAAATCCGGGTTGCAGGAATGTAACCCATGTCTGGTTATTGAGCCAGTGGTTATTGAGGTGTGGTCCTGCCTATAATTTGGCTTACCATCATGTCAGAATGATTCGATATGGTGCCATTTTCCTTTACAGGTGTGGGGTAATTGGTGCTGGACTTCAAAAGGCTTCCCCTTTTATTATTTTACCAGCTTTAGTTGTTATATTAATATGAATGTATTAATATTATTTGCAGTTGTGCTGCGGTTTCTTGAAAGTTGTGTCAACCACATACTGTAGCTAGTCTGTTTGCTCCACATCCACACAGCATGCCCCTTAACAAACCTTGATTTTGCCTCTGTTTGTTTTTTTTACTTTTTTGTCTCTTTTTGCAGCCACAGAATATTCTGCTGACTAGTGCGTCCCCTGTGGGAGACATTAAGATTGTGGATTTTGGCCTCTCTAGAATAGTGAGCAGTAACGAAGAGCTGAGGGAGATCATGGGGACGCCCGAGTATGTGGGTGAGTTTGAAGTGACATCATTCACTGCTTTTGAATAAAACTGTCTTGTACCATGTCAAGCACTGCCCTGGTGTTTGTTGTAGTGGACAGTGATATCATTATTGTGGCAATGTCCAACAATGTGGAAAACAGAACTGCACGCTCAGCTTTGCTCACAACTGCAGCTTGTGCTCTTTACTTTGGAACTGAGGCTGACCTATTTATCTAAACAGGTGGTCTGACTTCTTAAAAGGGGATATTAAGATCTGAAGTGAATGAGCAGTGGAGAGAACCCAAGTAGTTGGAAATAGTCTTATATCCAGGATGGTGTTGGTTTTATGTTTAACAGCCATTATACACTCACTGCAGTAGCTATTCAGAGTGGGTGTTGTAGGACATGTCATTCCTGAAGTTGTGAAAGGAACACGGCTTCAGCTCATGCCTCGTTTTCACAACAAAGGAATGTTTCTACAACACTTACCCCAAAGTGTCATGTTGCTTAACTATGGATCCACACAAGTTATTTTGCATACTTTTTTCTTTGAGAAGATGTCTGTAAAATGCCTTTTTTTGGTTCAGTTTTCAGATTGTTAGTATGGTGTTTCAATACAGTATTTAAGGTGTTTGAAGCTATGACAAGAAATAGTTAATTACAAATTAAAGGTCCTCACAAATTGTACATACAGTAATTTTTAACTGTTTTTTTTCTACAGCTCCTGAAATTTTAAATTATGAGCCAATAAGCACAGCGACTGACATGTGGTAAGAAACATATTAAGCTTTTTTGATTTGTATCACATCTGGAACCTTCATAAATCTTTCAATATTTTGGAAAAACGTGAAATTTCTTTCATTATTTTGGCAAAAATGCATATGTTTATGGGATAATTTAGTCTTTGGTATTGCAAAACAAGTATGGAGCAAATTTAGATTTAAAAAATCCATCCATTTACTCAGGAGTTTCATCAAGTTTCAAATCAAATTGCATATAATGCAGAGTCATTAAATGTAAATTAAATTGTATAAGAGCACTACTTCCCAGCCTTGGTCCTGCAGGAACATTGTATCTTTTGTTTTTTTTTATTCCAGTCAAGTTCTTAAAGGCTGCTAATTGATTTCAGTTTTCTATTTAGGGAATATTTGTATTTCTAAAGTTCCTTTCAGTTTTTAAAAGATCAGATGGGATTAGTAATTGGTGTCAGCTCTGTACCATTTTCTGGGTTTCAAAACTGCTGTCATTCAGGTATGCTGCTGAAATGTAACCAATTGGACCTTTGCAAATGGAAATAACGCTGTTGTGGGCATCTTTGAATAATTCGGTCACTCTTTGTCTGTTCATCAATTTATTAACCGGTAAGCTTAAGAAAGTTGAACTTGAAGTTGGATATTTTTGAGACTCAGGACTGACTAAAAAAAGTTAAATAAAAGTCTAAGAAACATGCAGATCAGTTATGCCAAATTTAGAGCTCAGTTAGAACACCAGCAGTCTTCCTACAGGACCAGGTTTAGGAACAACTGTGATAGAGAACATCTAGTGTTTGCTGTTCCAGGTCTTTTCTTTTCCCCCTCACAGGAGTATCGGTGTTCTGGCCTATGTGATGCTTACTGGGACCTCTCCTTTCCTGGGAGATGACAAGCAGGAGACCTTCCTCAATATTTCACAGATAAACATAAGCTACACCCAGGAAGAATTTGAAGGGATTGACAAATCTGCTATTGACTTCATGAAGATGCTTCTCATTAAAGAACCAGAGTAAAATACCTTTTTATTACCTTAAGTTAACTTTAATTCACGTATTGGAATTTGTATATTTAATGTGATTAGCTCAGTGATTAGCTCAGTCTGACAATTTGTATCCGTGATGATTTGCTTGTTATGGAAGAACATAGTATACAACATGAAGATCAATGTTACCTCCTTATAACCTGATCTCATCGGGTCTTAGTTAAAGAATGGGCAACCTTTAAGGAAAACCAGGTTACAGCTTTAAATGGTATTTTTGAACCAGAAGGTAGCACTGTTTCCTCCAGAACACAATTTACAAACTAGTGCCCCAGTGTGGTGATCAGGGACACTGTGCTGCAGGAGATGCTGTCCCTTGAAATGTTAAACCAAAGTCCTTACTACTTGGTCATTTATGATCCCGTGGCACTGTTTCTACCAGTGTCAACCCTAGTGTCTTAACTCAGTTTAACTTTGGGCTTGAATAATTTGGCCACTCTGAAGTTCTCCTTAAATCAATTGATAAAACAGTTTTTCACCTCTCTTCCTGGTGTAGTGCTGCTGGTGCACAATGACTGCCACATCTTCTAGGTTTGTGCTGCATTTCAGAGCTAAACGGAGTGACTCCTCTCTCAGCAAGCAACTATTATTACTGCAGAAAATGCCCCTCCTTTCGCTCTATCAAAATGTGTCCTTGAGACATGTTCTCCTTTGTACATGTACCATTTATCCAATACAGAGTTGAGGAGCCTATCCTGGCAAGCAATGTGCACAAGGCAAGATACACCCTGGGCAGGATGCCTGTCCATTGCAGGGCACACACAGACACAACCACTAACATGCACACACTCGGGGACAATCTTCCCAGAAGCCAGTTCCAATGGAGGAAACCCATGCAAATGTGGGGAGAACATACCAAGACCCTAGGTCTGGAGTTGAAAATAGGGCTCCAGTGTTGAGGCAGCAATGCTAACCACTGCGCCACCTAACCGCCCATTTGTATATGAACTAAATTTCATTATTCCAGTGGAGTTTTCACAATATAGATGTTTGAAAAGGCCTACTAACTTTACAGCCCCCCTGGAAATAGCTGAGCAGTTCTCCATGCAGAGCAGAGAAGGAGACCAAGTGAGACATTTGTGTGCTTTCGTAAGGGTACAAAGAATACACATAATGACAGAGGTGTAGGTGAGTCAATCGGTGTTCTCATTGCAGGGCCAGAGCCACGGCAGAGCAGTGCCGGCAGCACCTGTGGCTGCAGCAGCTCCATGAGGACACAGCGGAGGCGCTGAGCTCCTGTGAAGGCTCCTCGGAGGAGGGCAGCCCCCTCTCCCCGGCAGGAGAGGCCGCAGCACAGAGCCAGGTGGCAGAGGAGCTCATAGTCATGGCTGCATACACTCTCGGACAATGCCGGCAGTCGGAGAAGGAGAGCATGACCCCTGATCAGAAGGCCATTTCCAAGCGCTTCAAATTTGAGGAGCCATTCAGCACACTGCAGGAGATCCCAGGAGACTTCATCTACTGAACTGCTATAGGAAACCAGGGAACTCAAACTAGAATTTTGTTTTACATTCACCTCGAGATTTGACTACAAACTTTTAAGCCAAACTTTTGTTTTTGTCTGTTTGTGCTGCTTTAATTGGTAAGTTAAAATAGGACTGAGCCTTGATGTGAAGAATCTTTTTGTGCCATGCTTGAGATGAAATGGCGTGGCCCATAAATGGAGCCACAGTGTTTTGTTGTTGTTTTTGCCACTTCTTATTAAAAATGTTATTTACCTTAAAAGTATAAACTCGTAAAAAGGTATATGTGTGTATATACAGTATATATAAAGCTGAACCTAATATTGTTTTTATAGACTGTTTAAATAAAAAATTAAAATGCAATTGCACACATTTATCCCCAAACTGTTGGATCCCCACTATCTAGCAGTCTTGGGCTCGAATTGTTTTGAAGCAACACTTGCATATTGTTGTCAACATTTCTGCTATTTACAAAACAAGGCAATAGGTTTGACAGACTTCCAGAATCATGCTTTTACACAAATTGATATTTGTCACCTTTAGAATTAGCCTTTCTTTAAGGTAATAGTGACTGAAAAATTAAACCTTGGCACTGTAAATAAACTCTAAGCTCTAGTGCTGAAGAGGTTTATCCCTTCATGTGAGATTTGTAGCCTCAAAACTATGATGACTTTTGTATTTATGACATTTTTTCAGCACACCTTTCACTTTTCAATTTTCACTTTTTTATACATTTTATGTTTTTTTTGTCAGATCAATAAGAATGCTGTTATAATTATTATAACTTATTATAACTGGTATATTTTTAGACTGAAAAGGCAGTCTCTTGTGCCCTTTGCTAACCTATTAAATTTTCTGAACTGAGGAATTGAGCCTCTTTACAGTATATGCCTTAAAAGATAATATTAAGGAAAGTTTCAAACTTTTTTACATTCATGTTCATTTTTTCCACAAGTCAAGCTGTTTGAAAAGAATATTAGCTCTTGTTAATTAAAAGCGAATAGAAAACAATACAAAATGTTTTCTTAATGCCATACACATAAAGGTGGTTGTAGCTGTTTTTTCTTTAAACTCTTATTGAGGTGGGCTGACAATCCAAAAAGACAGTGCCAACAAATTAAGACATAAAGACAGTTACAGTCTATATTTAAGTCAATGTGTAAAAACAAATAAAAAAATGATTACTTTAACATAAACTAAAGTTTTTCGGTTACATACAGTAGGCTTTATATAATGTAAACATGAATTACACACCTCACCTTTTTGCAGTGACATTGAACTCTTAAATTTCTTATCTTGGGGAGGAGTGTTTACATTTGCAATTGTCATTTAGAGATTTACTTTTATTTAGTGTTCCACAAAAATGCATTAATCTAATAGCTTGTTCCATCCCTCCTAAGCTTTAGGACCTTTTTTCAAATCTATAACTGCTATTTTTTTTAATGAAATTGTACATTTCACACAATGCAACACACAAGACTACTTGGAGATTTAAACAAATTATGAACCGCAGCTGTATATTTTAGTGTACTGCAGTATGAATGTAATAAATGTAAGCTTGCCTCTGAATTGTGTCTAGAACTAATGTTGCATTTTCCCACCTGGAATCTACAGTTTCCTTGGAACTGAAAACTAATCAAACGTTTTTTACTTTTCACTGCAATTTTTATTCTTTTTCACTGTAAAAATGAATAATTAATTACACCCAAATCTTAGATAACAGAAACGCAAAATGGTTTAATAGATCGGTAAAATAGCTGACATGAAAAATAGTACTGTGGTTCAAGGAAAAGCCAGGAGATTGCTTGCTATGCAATGTGAAAAGTACAATCGAACAGCTGCACTCAAACATCACAGTTTTTTTCTGATAAAAACAAAAAGATTTCACTTTAATCGGTTTTCAGCAGATCACAGCTTGTACTAATTTGGTACATGAGTAATCCTTGGATTCCTGTGACAGTTTTGTTTTTCTTTTTGAAATGCATGCAAAAAAACAAACAACTGGCTCAAAAGCTAAAGAAGTAAAGTGGAGCGAAAAAGCCAAAGGTTGACGAACAAGGTATATTTAGTGAGTATTAAACTTCAGGGTCCATCTGTTGGGAATGCTGTGATAACCTTTACAACAGTTCTCCCCTTCTCAAGGATGTTACTGTACAGTACATCAGAGTGCAGCTCATTCTTCTTCATAACATCATGACTGGAAAGGCAGACAGACCTGATCCACAATTGCAGACAAATCAAAAGTCATTGCAACAAAACATCTAGTGAGGCAAGAAATTTAGTGTTCTTAAAACTCACAATCTTAGCATGAACCACAAATAAACATGAAGAAACTTTTGAAACATAATTTTATCCTCAATGTTTGATGACATTCATAGATGTTTACTAGTATTGTGGTAATGTTTTACATTATCATTTTCTTCTGTTAATAAATTACATCTGTTTCTCTGAATCTAAAAACTTTACCAAACTGAAGTTCTTGAGAATTGCAACACTTATATGTGGTAGACGAAGCAGTGCCTACAACCATGGTTAGTTTAAAATTCATTAACGTCTTTGCTCTAACTGATGGTGTTTCTCTTCCTTCCTGTACCTGTTGTATTTTTACTGGCAGAAAATGTAAAAAGGTGTATAGAATTCTATAAATAAAACATATCTTAACATGTTTTTGCCAAACATGCTTCTTTCATACAGAATAGCTAAAACCAATACTGTAGTTAGCGTAGTATATTTTGAAGGATAACTGACAGTCTTGAGTTTTGGAGTACCCTTATTAAGTTAAACTTGGCAATGATACATTTTTTCATTTAAATGTCAGACCAAATTACATTGCTTGGACTGAATCTTGTTAAGGTTAGTTACACCACTGCCAATGTACAGTACAAGATTCCCAATGAGGAGATTACAGTGAAACCTTGTCGTAGACCCCAGCAGAACAGAAGCAGTGTTAAAATACTGCTGCGGAGCTGCAGCATGTCCTGGGGGAACACTCCCTGAGTGCACAGGGAGCAGCCATGCTTTCCCTTGTACTGTAGCACAACTCGTGAAGAGCAGTATGATGCTTCATACATTAAAATGAGGCGCCTGTTGATGGGTTCTCAAAATCCATATCCCCTGGTTCAGCCTTCTCAGTCTCAAACACTGCAATCCTTTGGCCATTGTGGAGATGCAGTACAGCCTCCTGCAGACACCACCTAGGATATTAACAGAACAGACTGAACGCCAAGTCCGAAACACAACATACTTAAACCAATTCTGAATAAAGGTACTGAAAATTTCCCTCACCGTCACCAGTCCCTCACCAGTCTATGTTTTTTTTTCAACTCACCTCCACTTGTTGGTGAAAATGTACTTAATCTTTTTATTAAGCTGAAGATCACACACAAAGAAGAGCAACAGCTTTAATCCATCACTGCCGATCCATTTGTGCTCTATTCGGTATAGGCTCTTTCTGAACCACTGCGCACACAATTGATTCTGAATTGCAAACATATTTGTGTTGACAGCTTCTCGTTGAGCACTACATTCCAGCACAATCACTACGCCTTTCAAAAGCCTAGAAATAAAAATGTGTTTTTTACTTTTTATAACCCTTTTGGCATTGACTAAAATAACATCTCATGCTCTCATTTAGATGCCACCTACAGTGCACGAAGAACTCTCATATTGTTTGTGCAACACCTGTAGAGATCTGTAACATCTTGTTGGGACCCTCCATCTTGATGCCTACCTAGCTCTTGATCAATCAATATTGAATAATCGTGGCATCACTGTGTGTGAGACAGAGCCTTCAATGTAAATCATTCCACCACATTAAGGCAGACAGGATTGCTACAGCACACTAAGGTCAGATGTTGTTGGTTCCATTGGTCATTCTTCTCAAACGATACTGAAAGGCAAATTTAGTCTTTCACAGTGCTATGTACATAAGTGTGGAAAAACTACTGGATGAGCATTTTAAATGCTACGTTTGGGCCCTGCAAGGTTGATGTGATATTCACGATGAAAATGTAAAGCTAGCAGGTAAGCAGTCTACTTTAGGTCAATATAATCCACCTTAGTCCCTGAGTGAGACGCATGGAAGCCTTCTGTCTTGACTGGTGTCCCGAATCTTTCCTTTATTCTTCATGTTAAGCTGCTGTGCTGTCTGTTATTGTGTAGTCAATCATTTTAAAGCACACACCCTTAAAGAACTAGCATTTTGTGTGTCTTTTACCCCCCCCTGAGGGTGGCTTTAGTCCTGCCCTTTCTTCCCAGTTCACCATGAACAATTCAAGTCTGGGTTCAACCATCTGCTTCTCACAAGAGTGAGAAATACTGAAATTCCACAAGGCATGTTGCCTTACTCCCAGTGCATGCTGCATTATATTTTTTTAACCTTGACAACTTTTTAACTATTTTTTTAACCTTGCATCCCCACTTTGTTGTTTGCGCACCACGCAGCAAACAATATGCAGGATTTATTACATTGTTGAAATTTGGCACATTTGGTTCAATGTACAGCATACACATGATCAATGAAAAAGCATACCGTATGCTATTTAATGTCATGAATTGAACAAACTCTGGACTGAGCTTGTGTGTTTTTAATTCAGGAAAAATGTAACCTACTTGTTCAAAAAGGTGTCTTTAGTTGAGGAAGTGTAGAGATAGCCTGAAGATTTCGTGCCAGACACTGGAATTTTGATCTGTAAGAGAATATAAAAATGGATAAGACCAATATTATCCATGTTTAAAAATACTACTCCCAAAAGAAATGTACGGAATGGCAAAGCGGTATATTGTGGAGATGTAAAAGATAAAAAAAAGAATAGTGTGTACACAATAATCACCCAAGTCATCAACCAGCCTACTTCCCCATTATATCACATGACTGGGAGTGCAGGTGACAATACAAAATACTGATATCTGTACCTCACGGGGGCTATTGTATAGATGTAGAAAGCCTGTGGAATGTTATGTTAATTGGCTCCCTGCACTGACCCACATGTGTCCGGGATAGGTTCCCAATGTGATAGAGATAGTCCATCATGTCCCTCACATGATCATGGCAAATTAGCTGACCATGAAAGAAGATTAATCTGGTGCAAAAACTTTCAGACTAGGTTTGTAGTCTGGGATTGATGTCCTGAACTTGCCACATTGTTGATGTTATTATTGCATATTTGTTTAGCATGATTCAAGATGAGTAATAGAATATAATATTATTAAATATATTAATAAAATAAAGAAAATCAAATTCACATTAGCTTGTAAATTTGTACTGTACTGTATAATAACATCTAAAAATATTACCTACAGCTCATTATAGCAACACCTTTATATGATATACTGTATTTATAATATATAATTACAGGTATATATTATATTTACAGTATAGCAACACCTGAAGAGATCTGTATCATCTTGTTGGGACATTCCATCTTGATGCCTACCCAGCTCTTGATTAATCATTATTGGGTAAACAGTGTGTGAGACAGAGGCTTCTTTGTTATGAATTTATGCCTTTTCAATTTCAATTTATGCCTTTCTTGGAGGTAAAACAAAATGAATCTTCCATAGAAAAATTATATTTATAATACATGTAAATTAAATATGTTTTCTTTTTTTAAGGACGCTACTAGCAGATGTTCTAGTTGTGGAGGTTCAGCCTTGAACTGACCTTTGCGCTGACCTTGTCCACCCTGTTGTGTCGGTCAGTGAGTCGGATGCTGTGGGCCTGCAGAGGTGGCGCCCCCAGGGACCCCATGGCTGACTCGTGAGTCCTGAGCTGGTCCATCGCCAAGCGATAGTAATCAGACCTGGCAAAATTTTCTTTAAAAACCGCAAAAAAAAAAATGATGAGCTGCAGAAAGCTGAATCCCAACAGAGAGTCTTCCACGGTTTTGCAACAAAATGGAAACTACAAATGTATTTTATCCATACTGCACACACTTAGGTTCAATAAAGAGCATGCTGAAGAGGTTCAGGTGGGTAGCTGCGTCAGCATGTGTAGTCTGCAAAAGAACAAGTAATAGGTTTATTCCATGCTGAAAAGAGACGAGAGAAAACACCACGTTTCGGCTGTGAAGCCTTCTTCAGGTGTGTCAACAAACCTGAAGACCTTTCTCATGACAGTTGGCAGCCATGGAGAACACAGCCAACAGTCACTTTCTGCCTGGGCCTCTACAAGATCCAGAAGAAGACTAAGACTGGGTACCTTCCCAATATAGTAACATAGTAACTTGAGAATTGAGGCCTGAAGCTTTTTAAGTTGGAAAACCCAGATTCAAAGCAAGCAGAGTCAAAGCCCACAGTCTTAAAAAGGGCTAAAATGAGATGTCTGACCAAAGGAAAAGCAAGGTGGTCCAAACCTAAATCTACTGTACATCCTTTCATAACTACTTACAAAGAAGGACATAAATATAGAAATTAACCTCTTCTTCTACAGTTTAGTTGTTTTTAATTTAATGGATAATAAAATAATACAATTGTGGTAATACAGTTTCTCTAGCATAGTTATCAAGTACAAATATTAAATAGACAACTGACAAATGTAACTTTTGAGTGACCTTTCAAAGTCTGCTGTCAAATCCTGCTGTACCACTTAGACACTCACACAGAAAACTGAACTGTGGCTAATTTGGGTTGTTCTGTATTCTTAAACTTTCTGTAATGAAAGTTTAAAACAAATAAGCTGAATACTATAACACAAATCAACTCATCACTAATAATTATAGAAGTATCAAAGGCGGAAACAGAAAAAAGTTTATAATAAAATGTATCTGTATATATTAATGCCAATAATTACAATGTAAGATATCATAAAGCAAGGCAAAGTGAAACATAAATCACATATACTTGTGCAATTAGAGTAAACTCAGTGCCTACATGTGCGTACTCACATTGTAGCAGTTACTGCGGTAATTCTTTATGAAGAAATTCTATAAATTCCCATTTACATATTAATCCTGTGGTACCTAAAATGTACAGGGCATTACTTTACAAATAAAGTGAAAAGCTAAGTATTGAGACAGTGAAGTCAAATTTGTCATTTTTCTGGGTATTACTGAATTTTGTATTTCAAATCAAAAGATGAATATAAGGCAAAAGTACAGAATGTCAGATTTTAATTTCTGGATATTTATGCATTTTGTTTCATACATGTTAAACCATGTTGGAACAAAAAACATTTTGTTTTCAATCCCACTCAATAACAGGTCAGCATAAGTAGGAGCACAAATAAACTTAAAGTAAATTATATTAATGTAAATTCAATATTCATTCTGCTGTTGTCATCATCAGTTACATCCTTAATGTAGCCAAGGCTATACATTCACAGCTCGTATGTAATTAATGCAACATGGCAAACCTGAGCAATTAGCAACAAGTAAGCCACTGGTATCAAAAGTTAGCACTGAACACAACAAAGACATTATTGTAACATGGCTACATATGTAAACAAAACAATATCCAGAAACAAAAGCTAAAATTCTTATTAATCTTCTGATCACAAATACAAATTTTATTACTACACAATAAACTTTTCTGTTTGCTGTCCCCATACTTACGGTTTTCACTGTACCAGTGTTCTCAACTTGGTTGTACACTAAAATTAAGTTAAAAGTGCAAACAAAGCAACACACTTACTCTGCATCAGGTAATACATCATGGAGCAACTCCCTCCTGTCACTATGGTCATAAAGATGGCCATTTGCTGCAGACTGCTTATTGAAGCTGGCATTGCCTTTTAAGTCCCCAAAAGAAAATACACAAGATGTTAACCTATATAAAATATTTGGAAGCACCTCCCAAGATCCTCTTTTTTCTATTTTATTACCCAGTTTTAACTGTTTTAGGTTTACCTGTAAAGTTAAGCAAAATATAGGAGACACTATAATAGTACCACAGGGGAAAGACGGCAGAATTAGCCACATAATAAGTCATTAACTACTTGTAACTTCTCAACACAGCTGGAGGGTTTCAAATGCCTCTCTAGGCATTTGAAAGAAAGAAGTTCCATAGGTCTTTTATCATTAACACCAAAAACATATTTGCATTTGTCTCAGTTATTATTTATGGATGCAGATAAATGTTTCAGGTAAAAGAGTAGAAAGAGCATCTTTCACAGCACAAAACTGTTAAAACGTTGTTGAGAATTCATGTCACTGCCTGTTAAAGCTTTAGAGAGCACCAAAAAAAAGTGTTGGGACACCAGACGAATAGACACCAGTGTCCTTAAATAGATCTCTATAAATCCATAAACACTGGTTTGGGCTCCTAAAGGCAGACAAGCACAATGTCACCTTAGTGCAAGCTGAAGAGCTTGTTAACCAGACATGTGGATCCGCCGTGCACTCCAATATTACAGTAAACCTTAAAATAATCCAGCCCCTTCCCAGACAGTGTACACTTTTGAAAATGACCTTCGCATAGGGGAGCTGTAAATGCAAACTAATAATTAGTTCCTGTCCCTGGACTATCTCTCCTCCCTGTCTTCTGGGTTAATATGTATTTACAAATTTCATGAGACTAAGTACTGTAAAGGTTCCCCCACATATCTTATTTATATCTTATATCTTAAGCATGCAGAAGAAAACTGTCAGGGTGTTTCTACCTGTGGACACTACAGATTCAGTGACTGAGTCACTTACTGTTCAACACCACTTACCTCATTATGTCATAATCTTTATTATGTCATAATGTCAGACTTCATTATAACATTAAGGTATTAAGGGAGAAATATTGGAAAATATGTCTGGTACTGATCACCCTAATGAGTTATCATTAACTATACAGGTTAAAGCAACTTTTTGCATTTTGAATCTTGCTTTCTAATCAGTCTGTGTCTACATACCACGCTTCTTTTTTCATATGATGGACATATATATTGTATGTGCATGATATGCACATACAACATGTTAGGAACTCTTTATTGTAGAGGAAATTTTTTAACCATGTGTAAACCCTAAAATTGTTTATATATTACATGTACTAATGATATTGTGAAATATACAGTCATTAAAGATATTTAAGAATTCCTGATGGTCACAACTACGATTTGCAATTTGGTACTGCTGTTAGTGTAAGAAATAAAACCGTATTTGACATTTAACTTTACAGGTATTAACCTTATTTACTTGAAAGTCATATTGTGGGCCAGATCCTGTTTTGGACCACTGTCCATCATATAAGCTCCACTAAACAGGTTTTTCTACGTTATCGAGCAAGAACAAATGATAATGATAAAATGAACATCCACAGAAATACAAACACACTTTACAGTTGAATGTTCTTGTGACATCTGTGTTTCTACTACAAATACAGAACTACTAAAATGGCTTCTTCATTACTCAATTAAATTGCTTTCCATATTAGCTCAGAAGACGAAATTATCCTGCACCAAAGACTGCCTGAAAGCTTTGTTTGATGAAACACCGGACTGCTCTTTAGAAATGAAAAAAATATATTCTCAAGGAGGAAAGAGGAATTCAGTTCAGAAGAGGATGATAAAGAGATTTCCGAATGCCAGCTAGTTATGGTTACCTTGTCTGGTAGCTCTACAAGTCACAGATTAAAAAAAAAACCCAGATAACGTTTTCGCCTGACCCTGCAAAGAGAAAAATGCATGAATAAAAAAGATACTGCCAGATTAATTACTGTAGTGTTAAACTGAAAGGTTATATCTCTTTCCCTAGAATAATTAAAAACTACACACTGAAAGTGCAGCTTTCAAATTGCTTGGACCAACATACAGAAAACAATGTTTACAAACAAATGCTTAAGTTGTTCTGAAAACCTTTGCATGATATTAAGTATATTAAATTTATGCAACCATCATTTAAAATGACAAGCCTCTGTAGAAAAAAAGCAGGAAGATAAGTTCAGACAAAAAAAGGCGTTATGTTACGGAAGAAACTAATAGTGTCAACCTTTATTATACTGTTATGATGTACTGCCATCTAGTGGACAAAAATACTATTGCTGCCGCAGAACATGTTGGGTTGGCAGTGTTGGCATCAAGAACAGATAGAAAGACAGATAATATTGGCTAATAATAATCATGGTTACATGAACATGAAATTTAGCTACTACCCAGTGGAAAGTGGCCAGAGCACATGTACTGAAGCTATCTAATCAGACTATGATAATCTGAGACTTGTTATCCTCATAAAACAAGGGAGATGGAGTAGAAGGTTCCTGGTGTAAAGGGTTTTTTTTAGATGCAAGAACTTAAATTGGGATGACTGCAACGGTTTGTAAGAACTAAACTGGAAGATTATCTCTATGGCAATAAGCTTAGAGTCAACATGGAAAATTAACAGAAAACAGAGTAGTACAGAAATAATATCATACAATTGAATCAACGGCTGTTAAGTTACTGCCTGCAGCTCCTTTAGCAAATCACCTGTAATGGCTACATGGACACAAAGTTTTCACTGTATTAAGCATAACTGCACTACTTGCATATACTGCATACACCATGGACACATAGCAGCTCTGCTCATATTGAGTTTTATTCAATTTCTATTACATCTATAATTATGTAACCTTATTTTCATAACCTCAATTTTGTGATTTTTGTGTTTTTGTGATTTTTGTGATTCTTGTGATTTTCGTGAGCTTGCAGAAAAGACATTTCATTGCCAGCAACTACTGCTGCATGCTGTATTGTTGTGCATTGGATAAATAAACTTTGATTTGATTTGATTTAAAACCTTACCATTCACTTGTAAGAGTTAGGTCAGAAAACTGTGCACAACTAGCTTCCTCTGATTTATAAACTTTCTTATGTTCTTATTCACTAATAAGTAATGACAACATGTCAAAATTAAAGGAATTACACAATTACCACCTCTTATCTGAAGACTTTGTTGTCTTCAAGCAGAAGATCATTTTAAATATACAGGCATATTTGATCACTAAAAGTAGTCATTTAAGATGGACAAATCTTTCATCTTTAATATACTCTAGCACTCCACACCTTCCAGAGTGGACAGATACAGTTACCTCCTCCTGCCTTTTTTCTTTATAAAAATAGATAGATACGGTAGATCCCCCTTTCTGTATCTTTGCTTTGTGTCCATCCAAGAAGATGCCCCTTTTTCTCTTTCTCTCAGGACTTAACTCCCTTCCCCAGTGACTAGCATGTAAAAAGGACAATTAACCTCCTCCAGTCTATTTTTCCCCACTCCTGGTCGACACCAAACTTGTTTCACCACTATACCAATATCACCTACTGTGGGGTAGGTGAAGTGTTGTATTTCTTACATTTTTAGCGCTGAACATGGATTTATACTGTAGTAAATGTATACTGTAATTCCGACGTTAGAGCTACGATAAACATTTTAGTATACCTCATGTTAAATGTAGTATCATCTTATCAAAGATCAATATTAATGTGACACGGTGCAATAGACGGTTCTATGAAAATGATCAAATCAATCCAGTACAGAAGCTGGACTAGATATGAGTTGTCTGCATCGTAATTAATTTAAAATAGTTTTAAAACGAAATAAACAGAATTCACGTTGGGTAACATGAATTGTGCCTGTATCAAAAACCAAAACTTGTCAATGAATAAGTGACATTTAAATCGCACAGTGACTTACACAATTTTTTTACACATCCTCCAAGGGGGCAGCCATTTTAGTCTTGAATGTCATATCTTTATTAACAAGAAGACAAGCTAAGTGGTTAACATGAGCACAACATTGGGGTCAGTTTTCTTAACACTAAAATATTTTCACATCCCAAACATCATTAATGTTCTAGGGGGCATTATGTAATCAAAAGGCTTGCGTATCTACTCCATGCACCCCGACCTAAGTCCTTTTGTCATATCGTGATAGGAGATACTATGCAGAAACGCCCGGGTGTGGTTACGTCACTGAAAACCTCTCCTGTTTGACATGTGCGAGTTATGAAAGTTGTATCTAAATTAGTTACATCATTTAGCGATCAGTTACAGCAGTTGACAGGAGCGACAGCGAAGAGAAGGACGATAAAAGACGGGTAAGCTACAGTAGGTGAATAGCTTTAATGAACGCCACATGGCAAAGATGGAAAAAATAAAGAATGCATCATCACTGCTTTCAGTTTTAGTGTTGTGTAACCTCTGCAAATTGGTTTATGCAGTCTTTAAGTTTATTGTCTATATCTTGTTTGATTTCGTCTATTTTAATCTAGTATTGTTGAAAAACACTCACACATTTAATATTTGGTAACGGTTAAGCAATGTTTCTTTATAGAGTTTGTTTTAGGCTTGCCACTGCATCAATGTGAGCTGTAAAATTGTTACATAACCCAAAGTGTATTTTATTAAATACTGTCTGCCTGCGTCCTCATGTTAAAAGTATGTAAAAAGTTTTGTTTAGCTTTTCATGCCTCACTTTTACCAAGAGTTCCCTAAGTAAGATCTGTCTGGTATTATTAGTATTGGGTTATGAACAGTTTTTATATGAATGTTCGTGATGATTGATGTATCCTTGGCCGATGTAGAAATGTAATATATTTTAAAAACATCATATTGTAAGAGACTCCCGGGTGTGTATTGAGTTATGACAGAAAGAGATGTGAAACTGCTGTATTATGCGTTTTAGTAGTTATTAATACAATGTTGGTCAATTTCTGTGGTCAGACAGAAACCCTTAGCTTGCAGATTTTTTTTAATTAAAAGGTTTCGCTTGACAGTTGTTGGATATAGTTCAGGTGGGTAGCTGCGTCAGCATGCGTAGGCTGCAAAGGAACAAGTAATAGGTTTATTCCATGCTGAAAAAAAGAAGAAAGAGAACACAACGTTTCGGCCGTGGAGCCTTCTTCAGGTGTGGCCTTCTTCCACACCTGAAGAAGGCTCCACGGCCGAAACGTTGTGTTCTCTTTCTTCTTTTTTTCAGCATGGAATAAACCTATTAGTTGTTGGATATGACACACTTGAGGGCGTGGATGTATGCACCTCTTTTCCTTTGCACAAGTCATCTGCTTTATGGAAACATTTGAGACAGTGGATGTCAGATAATCCGAGTGTTGTCCAAAAATTATTTGAAATGACCTTTTAGGTTATAAGAGGCGTACTAACAGTGATGGATCAATTAATTTAGAGGGCTTCACAAGATAATCCGAATATTCAAGATAATGATTTGTCGCTATTCGTCTTGGCTTTGTTTTGGATTTATTTTAGCGGTCTACAGTACGCTTTAGGTTTTGTGTGTTTCGACTTCTTTGATGGCTTCACCATTTGACCTGGGTGTACTTTCAGGTTTTTCGGCAGTGTTTGATGGAAATGTACAGCACTGTAGCGAGCCCTTTACCTGAATTAATACATATTTTACTTTAGTATTTTTCGGGTCTGTATAAAATCCCAAGTCTCATTAAGACGAAAAAAGGTCTAAAACCGAACACCACGACTTTCCATCTATGAATTGGCTTCATTACTCTGCTCTCCTCCCCACTGATACTATCAGTGATAGCTGATGTGCGGTGAGCGTTCTGGCCCACTATGGCTGCCGTCGCATCATCCAGGTGGATGCTGCACATTGGTGGTGGTGGAGGGGAGTCCCCACTACCTGTAAAGCGCTTTGAGTGGAGTGTCCAGAAAAGCGCTATATAAGTGTAAGCAATTATTATTATTATTATTATTATTATTATTATAAGATGTCCAAGATTTCCTGAATATGTGGAATTGGCTAAGAATCTGGAATAGTCTTTTTATTTAGCTCCCTGTAGTAAAGGCACTGTCGAAATACATCATACTATTTACAAAAACAAATGACAGAAGAGGAAGTTCAGGTGGGTAGCTGCGTCAGCATGCGTAGGCTGCAAAGGAACAAGTAATAGGTTTATTCCATGCTGAAAAGAGAAGAAAGAAAACAACGTTTCGCTGTGGAGCCTTCTTCAGCTGAAGAACAGAGGAGGAAGATTGTTTTGACTTGGTTCTACATCCTGTGGCAATTAAAACTTCTAAATTCATGTTTTTTGTATGTACATCTATGTTTAAAGACCTACTGTACTGTAGGTACTAAAATACACTTTTTCTGTACTGGAAGATGGTCATCAAGAGTCAGTTGTAACCAATAGCTCTCTTTTCACATTTTAGCATTTTTCTGACAAAAGAATAAGTAATATATTTATTCCACACTGAAAAGAGAAGAAAGAAACCACAAAGTTTTGGCAGTGGAGCCTTCTTCAGGTGTAAGAAGGACAGGACAGTAAGCACAAGGTAATATAGCATAGGAGAACAAAAGCTGGGAGAGAGGAGGGGCGAGAGGTGGGAGCGTGGGACAGACAAAGTGGCCGATCAGGTAGTATGATGTCATGATAGGTGAAGAGAGGTTTGAAATGAAACCTACAATGAAAAGAGAGAATTTAGAAGAAAATCAGTCTGTCATTGAGAGGAAAAAGGTGTGATCCTAACTGCAGGATAAATTTAGTTTCTGTAGTCTTTCTGATGTTGGAATTAGGAAAACCAGCTTTGAGAACACAAATGGAGAGATTAGTGTGATCATGGCCGTCAGAGGTGAAATGAGAAACAATGGGCTTGGAGAAATCTTTAATCTTTACAGCCCTGGCATGTTCTCTGAAGCAGTCTCCGAGTCTCCTTCCTGTTTACTGCAAGAAATACAGTAAATAAGATTGCTGGAGGTACAAGATGTAATCCGAGTGATCTGGAATTGTTCTGAGAGGCATTGAATGAGTATGGTGTTAGATACATTCTTGCAGCTGATACAACGAGCTCTGTTGCAAGGGAAAGTGCCTGGTGTGGATAGTTGCTGAGGGCGGTCAAGGGAGCTGTGAACAAGAAGGTTACGCAGATTAGGTGGTTGAGGATATGAGATGATGTTTCGGTCAGAAAAGAGAGCCCCAATGCAGGGATCATCCTGTAGGATGGAAAAGTTCTCGTTAATAGCCCTGGGGATAGGAAGTGAGGGTGGTGGGGAAGCACCAAAGGAATGCGGTTGTTAAGCCGGAAATTCCTGATTGAGTTGATGGTCCAAGGGATGTTTTGGGCTCAGGCAAGGGCTCTGTCAATAACACTGCTAGGGTATCCTCTGTTGATGCTAAAAGAGTACATTTTGAGGGGTTGGTTCTGGAAATCGATGTCGCTGCAGAGTCGTCGTAGCCGAAGGAACTGTGAAAAGGGGAGAGAGTTTTTAGTGTGTTTGGGGTGAAATAAGCTATACAGGAGATACAGTGCCTTGCAAAAGTATTCGCCCCCCTTGAACTTTTCAACCTTTTGCCACATTTCAGGCTTCAAACATAAAGATATACATTTTTTATTTTATGTGAAGAATCACCAACAAGTGGGACACAATTG